ATGCTGATTTTGCCATGGGCCGAAGTCCGGCTCAATCCGGCTGAATCCCGCTGATTCCCGCTTAGTCCGAGGCCCTTTCTGGCGTAGCAGCCCCGCAATGGGGTTTAATCTTCCTCAACCTTTACGATGAAGACCTCCCAGCAGTTGCTTCCTAACATCTCCGGGCGCCCCGACTTTCTCCAGAAGGGCCCGCTCCGGCTGCCGCGCTACTGCGCAGGGCCCTCCAGGGCCGGGGGCGCCTGGGTCCGAGCCGGGCGCGGCCCCCCGGGCCGCGGCCGATCGCGGCCCCGATCGCCGCCTTCGGCGCTGGCCGCGCCGAAGGCGGCGGTTATGATCGTCGTGATGTTTGGGGCGTTCCTCGGGCCCATCGAGCCCGTGGGCCCGCGGGGGCAGGGCGTCTCCCGCCCGGGCGGCTCGCGCCGGCACTGCGGCTTCAGCTCGCGCGCCTTCGCGCGTGGCGAGGGCAGCTTGGTCGGGCTCGCGGGCGAGGGCCTCCTCCTGGGCTCCGTCGAGGTGCCTTGGCTGGGGCCTCTCGTGGCGCGGTGCCTCGCGGACGGCCCCGTCGGCGCCGCGGTTCCGCGCCGCGTCGCGCGAGCTGGGCCGCCTGCGGCGCCGAGGACTGGCGCTCGCCGCGATCGACGGGCGCTGCGTCCCCCGCCAGCTTCGACGCGGTGGGCCTTCTCGCGATCGTCTGCGCCGACGCCGATCCCCCGTGGAGACCCGGGACAGAGGCTGGTGGGCCTCAGGCCACAGCGTGTGAAGCGGCACGAGGCGCGCGCGCTCTCATCCGGCAGGAGGTGGCGGCGCTCCCAGACCAGCTGCGGCGCCGCGCAGAGGGCGAACCCCCGGCCGTTTCCAGAGCGAGCTCGAGAGGGCGCTTGCGATGATGCCCATTCACCACCTACCAAACCACCCCAACCCAACCCGAAGGCCTCCATATGTCCTCCATTTCCAGTGTGGGGGTGTCGGGGAACATAGAAACAACACGTATGGAACCCATACCCCCCCCAACCCGAAATTGGGGTCTTCGGGTTGGGTTGGGGGGTCTGGTGGGTAGTCACCCATGGTCCCCGGCAGCTCCGAGAACGGCCGCCCGTCGTCCAGGGGCCTCAGGCGCCCGCGCGCCCACCGGCGGGGAACGCAGCGGCCCGCCGCGCAGGTTGGAGCGTAGGGCGCCTTGCCGCGCGCGGGCCGAGCCCTTCGGCGAGCGCATGCGCGGCTGCGCCCACCTGGCGAGCGCCGTCGTAGGCGCCGGGTGGGCGTCGGAGGGCGGGGGCATCCCAGACGGCCCCCGGGCAGAGCTTCTGGGCGCCACCCGTCGTCCCGGATATTGGGAGTGAGACGTCGGGGCAGGCGGGTTTGAGCCGTGCACGTCGGCCCGGAATGCAAGAGCTGGTCGAGAGCGCGCAAGCACGACGGACTGGGCCCCCCTCCTCCCCCTCCTCTCCGGGAGGATGAGCACCTCTGGGGGCTGCCCAACCTGGGCAGAGCTGATGCCGCAAAGCTGAGCATAGCAAATCGACTGTCAGCTAATATGTTGCAGCTCCTCCAACGTGCAATCGAGTCGGGCGCGCCTTTTTCGCTTGAGAACCCTCGCTCGCCTAGCCTCTGGCTCGTGCCTGAGATTCAACTCCTGGCGGGGCAGGCAAGAGCTGAATGGGGGTCACGTGGACTCCTGTCGATGCCATGCGCCGTGGCTGCAGGCCACCACTTTTCTTCTCTTTAATTGGCCTCCCGTTCAAGCATTTCTGCGACGCTGCACAGGCACTCAACACAGATGCAGCGCGACAGGTAAGAGTCACATCGTTTCCAAAGGAAATTGCCGAACACAGTCTTTTGGACCGCGAGGGCCTGCCCGTACCCAGTTGAGTTCTGCAAGACCCTAGCGAGTCTCTTCGTGGCCACGGCCACTGCGCTTTCTTTCGGCGGGTGTGGGTCCTCGGTCCTGTATGTGCGCTCGCGTCTCGGATTGGCCTCGCGCCGGCGGGGTCCGTTCTCCCGCTCAGCTCGCTTCGTCAGACTTGGGTCGAAGCAGCGACCGATGGCTGGACAGCGGAGGCGGTTGCTGGACGCGCTTCGCGCTCGGCGTGTCCCTTGGCAAGGACCTGCAGCGTGGGGGATCATGGTTTCGTGTGTTCTTGGCGATTCGCGGCTCCCCCTTGCCTCTGCCTTCGTCCTCTTCCGAGGGGTGCGCCGGAGAGCGGATGGCAGGAGGCGGCGAACGGGGGATGATGAGCGTGCGGCAGCCTGAGAGAGGGAGGGAGGGAAGGCTGGGAGGAGGGACGCGGGGAGGGAGGCGGAGGTTCTTCCATCCCCTCCGCTCCCTCCTAGCAGGGTCCATCTCGATCCGATGGATCCGCCTCGATATTGGTTCCAGCTGGCCCGATTCAATTCGCTTCCGAGTTTCGGGCGATGCTATGCGGCCCGACGCGTGCGTGGCGCTGTTTGGCATCTTGGCGCAGCCGATTCGATTCTATTGCGGGTCCGTCCAGATGCTGTCCGATTCGATAAACGTTCCGATCCGACCCGATTTCCCGATTCGATGTTGACTGTTGCTGTCTCCTGCCCGCGGATCGCTGCCACGCCTCGGAGGAGGCAGCCGCGCGATGTCGAGGCCCCTCGAGGAGCTCGTCGAGGGGGACCGCGTCCGCGTGCAGGGCGGGGAGGGGCGCGTTTGCAACCGCCTGGGCATGGCTGCCCTCCTCGTCCTCCCCTTTTTCCTATCGCCATCGGCGGTGGCGGGTTCGACCTCGCGACGCTAAGGCCACGTTGCGGCTTCTCCGTCTCCCCTGCTTCTCTTGGGGTTATTACGTGTTCGTGTTCTTGTTTGTCTTCGTGTTGGTCAGACTTGCCACGTGTTCGGCATCAGCGTGCGGGCCTGGCCCTCTCCAAATGGGGTCCGCGCGATTATCGGACTCGCCGTTCGTCCACAATTCACATCCCATCGTCCGCGCCACGTAGGTTGCATCGCATAGCTTACACCACGTAGCCTGCACCACACGGCCTGCAGCGCATATCATACACCGCCTAGTTTGCACCACATATATGGCATCGCCCAGCTTACACCACATAGTTTGCACCACTTATCTTCTCAAGAGAGCACTTGCCCCCCCGAACCCAGACTTATCAGTACCCCTCCGCATGCTATGCTTTATCCAGAATCTGGACATCTATGTATATGTCTATCTGGGCCAGTATCTTTCCAGCATCTGTCAAACAATACCATGCTCGCACACTCGTTGATCACAACGGATCATGTCGCCATGGGTTCTTGCAGCCGTGTCCGCCAGCGTGGGCCCCACAGAAGAAAGCCATGGCACCGTGGATGTGTGAGCTATGCACTGTGATACGTGAAGTGCGATCCATGCGGTGTTTGCTGTGTGGTGTAAGCTGTGTGTCAGGAGGGGAAAACACACACACAGACACAATTGATCGTCGATCCCCCCAAAAATATGTGAAAATATGGGACTTGGGCGGGAAGACAAAAAACAACAGAAAATATGGGAAAATATGGGGAATCGTCTTATTGGTGTATATTTATTTGTGTGTCCTTGGGCCCCTTGAGTGTAACGCAATCTATATATTCTGCCCTCCGGCAAACCAGCAGTGGCAGCGTGCGGCGACGTGGCGCATCCCCCGCGGGCGGGCCCGCCGCGCGGGGTGGGCGGCAACGAGGCGGCCACGGGCGGCAACGTGGCGCAACCTCGGCAAACCCCCCTGACGGCAAAGATGCGGCAACGCGCGGCAACATGGCGCAACCTCGGCGGACCCCTCGGCGCAACCTCGGCGGAACCCGCACGGGTGGCAACGTCCTGAAACCTTGATTGAATCCGCAGCGGTAGCGATGGGGGCGAGGGGAGGCAACGGGTCGACGCCTCGGCGGACCCCCAGCGGCAACACGGCGGCCACGGGCGCCAATGTGGCGAGACCCCGGCTTACTCAGTGACACAAGTAAGAGCCCTTAGGTGCAAGTGCCGCTTGGGGGAATACCGTTGAGTCCAGACGCGCGCGCACGTGTCCAAATCATGCCGTACACGTTCGAGTAACACGTGTACTCCCATACAAGACATTCATCCATCATTCGTGCCGCAATAAACAGATACCAGTCTCTCGCCCGCGCGCAAACGCTGAAACCCCAGGACATCGTACCTTTGGTATTCGCAATGTCGTCCAGAAACCGCATCGTCAACTGTTCGACGCGGTGCGTCTGCGTTGATCTAGCATGCGTCCATTGCACGAATCCGTATCAAAGAAGTCCGTGCTGGCTACGCGCGCGAAGCGAAATCCTTCAAAATCAGTTGCCCCCGAACAATTTCAAGATAAAGCTATTCAAAGACATTGGTAACGTGCATTTGTCAACACCACGTTTACCTGATTTCTTGCACTCGCACGTCTTCGCTATCACCTCATCAGCGCCATCGTATCACCAACATCATCATACTCGTCAATCTTTGCAATTGCCGCATTATCATCACAATCACCTTCATCGCCGACGCATGGACATTATCATCGTCATCGTCGTCACCAGCATCGGCGCCAAGATTAGCCTTGCCGTCGTCATCGTCATAATCGCCACCACTATCACTACTATCATCACGGTTGCCGCCGTTGTGGGCCTCTTCATGATACCGCGCCCGCCCGAGATATTGACTCGTACTGAAGTGTTTGTGTGTTAGTGTTGCCTGCGAGACGCGGTGGGAAGCTCCCATCGGTAAGCGCCATCGCGGCCGCACCAGTTTTGCCAAACCAGCTGGTCGCCCTGCGCGCGAGTGAGCGCGCGCGCCAGCGCAGTCGTACAGACGCGCAAGCAAGCGCTAACCAGAAGCCGCGATCGTGGCCGCATAGGTTTTGCCAAACAGGTTGCGGGTGGGATGGGGTGGGAGGGTGGGATGTTTGCGTGAGCGTTGGAGTTGACGATTTCAGGGTGTGCAAGGTAGATTGCACCGCGTAACGTGCACCGCACGGCTAGAGCCACATAGCTCACACATCCGCAGTGCAATGATTTACTGATCGGGGTCCGCGCTGGTAAACATTTTGTTGTAAGCATGAGTTTTCGTTGCCAAGCCAACAGGAGTCAGGCGAGAACCTTATTCTGGGGCAGAGCCGCCCTCCATCCGTACAGTTGCCGCACAGGTTTACAGCTGTGGCAAAACTGTGTGTGTCGGCATCCACCCGTACAGTTGTTGGAAGCTTTGAAGAAACATGTGCGCGGCGCCAGGATGACAGCCAGATTGTGAAAACCCCCTGCCCAACATCCGTGTAGCTCCTTGTAAGTTTGCAGGATGTATGTGCGTGGTTATAATGCGAGAGCCGCATTTCGAAAGTGTCCGGCCCTCTATCCGTGTAGCTGCCGGGCGTTTTAAGCTTCCGGGTCGCTGAAGGAGGTCTCAAGCGAGTTGCCCGGTTCGGCCTCCGGACACGTTTGGTGGTGCGTGCGAACAGAGGCAGTTGTTTGCAAGGATGGAGTTGGAGGAGGAGGAGGAGGAGGAGGAGGAGGAGGACCAGTGTAAACTCAAACTCAACAACGATACTGGAATAAACCCTCCCTCCAAGCTCCCTGATCATAGGCCCCTACAAGGATTCATTTCCACTGGGGGAAGTGTGCTGTTTGGAGACAAACGTTTGAAGATCTTGAAGCGTGACAGAGCCCCATTCTCGGGACTCCAACGCCACGCATCAACCTGACTGTTGCGTCTTGGCGATCCTGAATCGCGTTAGAACACCATTCCTGGGACTGCGACACCTTTATCAACAACACTTTTGCGCTTAAGCAGTCCTGAATCGGTTCAGCATACAATTTCTGGTTCGCAATCCATGCGAATTCGTGAAACTCTTGCAGTCTTCCTAAACCGAATGTGCGCGGCGCTGAGGCGAGAGCCACACGTTGAAAATGAACCACCCTCAAACCGCGAAGCTCTTTCGATTAAAACACGAAGGTGCGCGGCGCTAAGGCGAGAGCTACATTTTGAAATTGAACCGCCCTCAATCCATGGCTCGCGAGTTTTAAAATGGATGTGCGCCTCGCTGGGGCGAGAGCCACATTTTGAAGAGGAACCGCCCTCATTCCGTGAAGTGGTTGCCACTCTTTCAGCGTCAGGATCATGAATGGTGAGATAGTCTCAGGCGACATGCCCGGCCCATCTTTTCTACCAGCCTCGGGGTGCGACAGGGAGGAATTATTCATAAGGAGAAGGAATTGGGGATGAGAAGAAGAAGGAGGATGAGGGAGGAGAGGGAGGAGGATCAAATCACGAGGTTCGAGGTCCTGGCCCTTTGGTTTTAGGGGGTCCAGGGTCCATGGGTGTTTATAGGGAGGTTGAGGGGAGGAGAGGGAGGTGGACAGGAGGAGGATAAGGAGGTGGAGGAGGGAGGAGGAGGGAGGAACGGGAGGAGGGGGCGCAGAAGCGAAAGGAAGCGTTTTGCCACGATTTGTTTTCTGCTGCCTTTGGCTTTCTCTGGTGGAGGGCAGGGGGCAAGAACTTCGAGAAGTTCCATGGCGGTCCTCCCTGGGGCGGGCGCTGGGGCGGGGAATGAACGTTTTCGGCTTGTCCTGGCGCCTTCTTGCCCATGTCTCTCTCTCTCTCTCTCCTTCCCTCCCCGTGCCTCTCTCTCTCTCTCTGTCTCTCTTTCCCTTCTCTCCTCCCTTCTCTCTCTATACCTCTCTTTCTCTTTCTCTCGCTCTCTGACTCATTCTGACTCTCTCCATCTCTCTCTCTCTCTTTCTCTTTCTCTTTCTCTCTTTCTCCCTCCCCCTTGCTCCCTTCCGCTTCCAGCGGCTCCTTCCCTTTTCGCGTCCCCCAATTCATCTTTCCTGTTCCTTCTCCCTCGGCCCCTTCCCCTCCCTTCGGTGCTTGTTTCCTTCCCCGTCGCGCCCTTCCCTTTCCCATTTCCTTCGCCACTTCCCCTTTTCCCTACGTTTCTTTCCCTATCCCTTTATCCCACGCCCCCTTCCCTTCGCCCTCCCTTCCCCCTCTCCTTCCCCCTCCCTGCTTCCTTCCCCTTTTCCGAAAACCTGCACACCAGAGGATTTATTAATCGCATTTTCCTGCGTGCGCTCGTTGCCGACATTACTTTTCCGACATGCTCAGCGCACGGTCTGCCCTCCAGGGGACCGCTCCGGTTACCGGAGCTGGCACGCAGACTTCCGTTCCGTTCCGTTCCCTGCTTCCCCCTCCCCCTCTGTCCCGTCGCCCTCCTCCCACTCCAGGCCCGTCCAGCACGAATCCACCCTGCGCCTCTGCCCGCACCGCCTGCGGCTGCTCCACGGCAGCGTGACCCCAGCGATGCCTTCTGCTAGCGGCGGCGAGCGAGGGGGGAAGTGCGAAGGGGAAGGCCCTCTCAGAAGGCGGCGTGGCTTCTCTGAGGCCCTCGCGCCTTCTGACGGGTGCCCTGTGTCCTCTGGGGAGGGTTCGGGCGGCCTCCTCGGAAGGCCGGGGAACCTCCGAGCCTTCTGAGAAGGCCGCCTCCTTCTCACTTCCCCCTGGGCTCGCCGCCGAATCATGTTGGCTTTGAGTCGGGCCTGTCCCTCTACAGGAGGACTGTTCAAACAACGTAGATATATAAAAAGCAGTCAGGGGACGGTCTTTCTGATATGTCTGATTTTTTTGGCAAAGTTCCCTACCTAGGCTCTGCCTAGAAGGGTTCTTACTCTCTGGGCTTAAAGGGGCGGGGCAGTGGAAAGCGCCCCAGGCGGTTCCCCCAGTATCCGCCCCGCGGTTCCCCCAGTTACGTCCCCTTAGCTTAGCGTTGCTTATCTCATCTTAACTTAACCTGGCTTAACTTAGCTTAGCTTAGCTTAGCCTAGCCTAGCCTAGCCTAGCTTAACTTAGCTTAGCTTAGCTTAGCCTAGCCTAGCTTAACTTATATTAGCTTAGCTTAGCTCAGCTTAGCTTTGCCTAGCGCAGCATTAGCATATCATATCATAGCATAGCATACAATAGCATATACTCGCATAGCATAGCATCATATCATATCATATCATACCATAGCGCATCATATCATATCATATCATGCCATATCATAGCATAGCATAGCGCAGCATAGCATATCATAGCATCGCATCGCATAGCATAGCGCAGCATAGCACAGCGCAGCATAGCACATCATAGCATAGCATAACGCAGCATAGCGCAGCATATCACAGCATAGCGCAGCACAGCATAGCATAACATATCATACCATATCATAGCGCAGCATAGCATTGTATAGCATTGCACGTCGCAGCATAGCATATCATAACATAGCCTAGCATAGCATAACATGGCGCAGCATAGCATATCATATCATAGCATATCGCAGCATATCATAGCATAGCATAGCATAGCATAGCGCAGCACATCATATCATAGCCTCGCATACCATAGCGCAGCCTAGCATACCCTAGCATAGCACAGCACAGCATAGTGCAGCATAGCGCAGCATAGCGCAGCATAGCATAGCATATCATATCATAGCATAGCATAGCATAGCATAGCGCAGCATAGCATAGCATATCATACCATAGCATAGCATAGTATCAACGCAACGACAAATCAACAGCAGCCACAATTACGCAAACCACAAGCAACGCAAAGCACATCAAAGCAAACACACACGCAAAACACAGCAAAAGCAAACGCACACGCAGACGCAAACGCAACAGCAAGCACACACGCATCATCAACGGCAAGGCAATGCAACGCAAAAGCAAAACCAATGCGACAGTGTAGAAGTAGTGGTAGATGTAGGTGTAGGTGTAGATGTGGATGTAGGTGTAGATGTAGATGTACATGTAGATGAAGGTGTAGATGTAGGTGTAGATGTAGATGTAGATGTGGGTCTCGCTGTTGGTGTTGCTGTATATGTAGATGCAGGTGTAGATGCTAATGTAGCTGTTGGTGTAGATGTAGATGTTGCCTTCCTAGATGCTCCAACTCCTGGGTAGGGTCGCACTGGGATCATTTTCTTTTTTTCAATCATTTCTTCGTCCAAGATCCCGCCTGTGGAGGGACGTGCCCGACCTGGCTCAGGAGGGGGAAAGACACACAGACACAATCAATCGTCGGCTCCCTGGAAAGTATGCCCTCCCCCTCAGACATCTTGGGGGGTAGGGGCAGGCTTCGCGTGTGGCTCCCCCTGTCCAGGGCCCTCCGCGGGCCCAGCAAGTGCGAGCATGCAAGGGGCCGCGGCAGGAGCGCGCGTGTGGGAGGAGCGGCGGCCCAGGCAGCGGCTTTCCGCGAATCATGAGTGTGTCCTCCACGTGTTGGGGTTGTGGAGGACGAGGAGGAGGAGGAGGAGGAGGAGGAGGAGGAGGAGGAGGAGGAGGAGGAGGAAGAGGAGGAGGAGGAGGAGGAGGAGGAGGAGAAGGAGGAGGAGGAGGAGGAGGAGGAAGAGGAGGAGGAGGAGGAGGTGGCGGATGGCGAGGGGGACGGGAGGTCGACGCCCAGCTTCCGTCGCGGCCGCCCCTTTGGGCCCGAGCGCCAAACCATCTCCAGATGTCGAAAGCATGTGTTAAGCATGGCTTAAACATGCAAGAAGCATGGGCACAGCGTGCTTAGAATCTCTTTCCGACTTTTTTCAAGCACATGCTTGATTCAATGCTAGGACTGTTATAGTGTCCATTGTCATGGCATCCACAATGCTGGGGTTCTGTCTGGAAGACGTGGGCCGGGTCTCGGCGCTGAGGGCGCACATGCACAGAGAGTGATTGTGGTGTTGTGCAGCGGGGGCGAGCACCAGGAGTCTGGTGGCTTTTCGTCCGGGTGCCTCGGTTTTTTCCGCTCCGCGCGCTGCGCGGTGATTTCCCGCGGGGGTTGAGCGGACATTGCTGCATTCACGGTGCCCCGGGTTTCCCCCTGTTGCATTTCGCGCGGGGATTTTCAGGGTTGTTTTTTTCTTGCGAGGATCTCTTACGGCCGCATCCGCACTGCAGTGCGAGGTCCCAGCCCTGACGCGGGAGAGCCAGGCTCCGAGCAGGACGCTCGGAGCTGAGACTGCGCCGAACAGTTCGGCCTCGCCGAGGCGCATTTGCTGGTGCTCCTCCTGCTCCTCGATCCTCCTCATTCTGCTCCCTCTCCTCGGTCCTTCTCGATCCTCCTCCTCGTACTCCTTCATCGTCCCTTTCATCCTCCTCGATCCTCCTCGATCCTCCTCGATTCTCCTCGATTCTCCTCCTCAATCCTCCTCCTCGATCGTCCTTGATCCTCTTCGATCCTCCGCATCCTCTTCCTTCTCCTCCTCCTCCTCCTCCTCCTCCCCCTCCTCCTCGTTCCTCCTCGTTCCTCCTCCTTCTCAATCCTCGATCCTCCTCCTCGTCGATCCTCCTCGATCCTCCTCGATCCTCCTCCTCCTCCTCCTCCTCGATCTCCTCGACCTCCTCGATCATCCATCATCGACCCTCGATCCATCTCCTCCTCCTCGATCCTCGTTCCTCCTCCTCCTCCTCCTCCTCCTCCTCCTCTCCTCGCTCCTCCTCGGTTTCCCTCCCTCGTGCTGCTCGCCTGCCCTTGGCCCGCGCAGGTATGGAGGGGACCATCCTGCACAACTCGCCCGAGAGCCGCAACCTGACGGCCCAGCGGGGGGGGGGGGCGAAGGGGGGCGTCCCTCGCAGAAAGTCCTCCGCGTGAATGGGTCTGCCTGTCTTACTTTCACAACCCCTGGGTGCGCGGAAGAGGTGGGACTCCGTGGCCCGGACTCTGCGTGCTTGCTGCTCGTGGGGCGACTTGCTCATTTATTCGGGGGGGTGGACAGACCTCCTCACAGTGACACGTCGATGAGTGAACTGTCCGTTTTCGGTTCTCGAGAGGGCGCCGCGGCCGTTATTTTCCAGGCTTGCGCCCGCCAGGTGATGGCCTCAGGTCGTTTTCACTGAACCACGTTTTACTAAAGGGAGGTCTGTCCATCCCCGATTCATGGTGAAGAATGATTGTTCAATCCCCCGCGCGGTAACACATTCGATTCTTCAACGGAGGTGCCCTTCCCGGTTCTCGCACCCAGTTTTTTCCAGCCGCATTGTGGTGTTGGGCCCTCGTTTTCAAGAGCCATCGACCGCGTCTCTTCTCCTTCTCCTTCTCCTCCTCCTCCTCCTCCTGCTCCTCCTCCTCCTTCTCCTACCCCTTCTCCGGCCCCATAGGGAGCTCCACCGAAGCCCCTAGGATTTCGTTCGGCATGTGGTTCTCCACACCCCTCGCACGTGTCGTGGCCCGATATGAAGCTCTACCGAAATCTCAGCACCGCCTCTGGCGGAGCCCAGCACTTGGGCGCCCCGCGCCCCAGAGTTGGCGTGCGTCGAGGCTGCCGCCTGGGCCACCGCGCGGGCCTGCTGAGGCCGGCACCGAGTGCCTCCAGGGGCAGTCGGTGCAGAGCCCCCTGACATGCTCGCGTCGTGACAGGAATCACGGCGGGAGGTTTTCGGCCGTTTTCGGCCTCTGGGGGCCCTCGCTAGGCCCTGGGACCAGTCAGGAAGCGGACCGGGATGAAAGTTCGGCCCCGGGGAAAGGGTCGGGACTTCCGTGGGCCCCGTACCCAACAAATCAAGACCTCCCATGCCTGGGCCCCAAGCTTTGCCCGGGGCCAGTTCCGATCCGGAGCCGCTCCCGGCCAGGTCGGGAGACCGCAGGCGCCTCTCCTGGGCCGAGGACGGGCCTGGTAGGGGCGAGTGCAGGTGTATTCTTGGCGCCCTCCCAGGTCCAGTTCGACGACACGGGCACCTCCGGGCCAGACCCGATTACGGTCGCATACCGACACCTGGATGGGGCGGCGCGGCGATGGGAGAGCGGGAAGGGCGTGCAGGGAGGCAGAGGAGCAGGACGAGGAGGAGGAGGAGGAGGAGGAGGAGGAGGAGGAGGAGGAGGAGGAGGAGGAGGTAATGAGGAGAGCAGGAGGAGGAGGAGGAGGAGGAGGAGGAGGAGGAGCAGGGTTGAGGGGGGGGGGGGGTCTCAGGAAGTGGGGAAAGAGCACGAGGAAGGAGGGACAGCTTCGAGCCCCGACTCCAGAGCTTCCCTCCGGAGCTCCCCTCAAGTCGGGCGTGTCCCTCCACAGGAGGAAGGTTCAAAAATAGCAAAAATAGTCAAACAATGCTCTGGGGACGAGTTTTGATTATTTTCGAGTTTTGTTTGAGCATTTGTTTGGCTATTTCTAATTTTTCGTCCAAGATCCGCTTGTAGGGCGACGTGCCCGACCTTACAGGTTTCCTCCGGAGGCCCTCCGAGCCGGGTCAGGCACGCCCAGAAGCCGCGCGGCTTTCGGTCCTCGACGAGGGGCAGTCGACTCCAGCGGGGTTCCCGCAGGTTTTCGCAGACCCCTCGCGAAGCAAGTGGCTGGCACAGGTCAAAAGCCTCGGGTCGACCCAACAGGGGGTCCAGCGACAAGGGGGTGGTGCAATAGATTTCGTGCAATATATTTGGGGGGTTGCATTCGATTCGGGGCGTGCAACGCATTTCGGTGCGCAATTGTATTGCTTGATTTTCGCGTGCAATGCACTGGCTGCAAAACAATGCAATACGTGTCTCCGTCGCAATACATTTGCAATACAATTGCCCCAAACCCATTGCACCACCCCCTTTCAGCTGGACCCCCTCTCGGGTCAATCAAAAGTGAGGTTCCCGCAGGTTTTTGGAGGCCCCTCGCAAAGCAAGTGGCTGACACAGGTCAAGAACCTCGACCCTCGATCCTCGATCTTCTGTCTTCGATCTGGAAGGGGGGGGGAAAAGAGGGAGAATAGCATAGGAGCTATGCTTCAGACTTGTTTCTCAAGCCAGGCCCCCTGGAGCTCTCGACCCCTTCTCATTGGGGCACCTACTCGTACCGCATCGTTTTTTAGCACGCCCCAGATTCAGTTGTTATTGAAATCATTGAGGGTGTGCTGTTGCTGCTGCTGTTGTTGTTGTTGTTGCTGCTGTTGCTGCTGTTGTTGTTGCTGTTGTTGTTGCTGTTGTTGTTGTTGTTGTTGTTGTCGTTGTTGTTGTTGTGATTGTGGTTGTTGTTGTTGTTGCTGTTGTTGTTATTGTTGTTGTTGTTGTTGTTGTTGTTGTTGTTGTTGTTGTTGTTGTTGTTGTTGTTGTTGTTGTTGTTGTTGAAGAAGAAGAAACATAACTTTCATTTCTAAAGCATAATGCTGGTTGATACCCCTCTGATGCAAGTAGTTTTTTATTTCAAGCAGAAAACTTGAAGTGCTTTTTCCAGGGCTCGCACCTTGTTTGTTATCAGGGGAAGTCTTAGGTCTCAGAGTTGTGTTTTTGGCCCCCCGGTTTATAAAAAAACGGCGCCCGCTTGATTTAATTCCTCACACTGTGTTGAAGAATCGCGCTCCGCGCAGGACTTCCTCACGAGTGATAGAGGAATCGCGCTCTCGCGAGGGAATTCCTCGTAATTTATTCAGACGCCGCGCCCTCGACACTCAAGACTCTCGCTCTCGCTGTGGATTTCCCCACGATTCATTAGGGAACCGCGCTGTCGCTCAAGACTTCCTCTCGATTCATGCAGGACGCACGCTTCAGCAACACCCGCCTGCTCGGCCTGGCCGCCTGGGCCCGCCTTTCCGACCCACCCGTTACGGTCTACCCGCCCGATCTGCCGGTCTGGTTCTGCCACCTGTTTTCTGCTCTTAGCCTTGAGTCGGGCACGTCCCTACAGGAGTGATATTCCCAAATAGTCGAAAAATCGTATGGGGACGATTTTTTGATTATTTCTGTTCATTCTTCAATATGTTTTGACTATTTTTGGTTTTCCGTTTAAAATCCGCCTGTAGGAGGACATGCCCGGCCTAATCCTAGGCCCCCTCCTCGTGCTCCATCCTCCTCCCTCCCCCTTGTCAATTTCTTCCATCGGTGCGCTCTTCCCCTGCCTTAGGGCTGCACGACATACACGTTGCAGGTCAAACATATGTACCCTTGATGGGGGTGCCATCGAAGACGAAGCGAGCAGGGATCGAGGGTTTGGGATATACGTGTTGACTGGCACCCGAGCAGATAAGAGCGAACAGTCTTAACATGCTCGTTGTTGTTGTTGCAGCTGTTGTTGTTGTTGTTGTTGAACATTATTACTTCTAAAGAATAATTATTGTTGGGGCCCCTGGTGCACGACCCCCCCGCCGCGCCTAGGCCGCAGCCTCATTTTCATCATTTTCGTGAGGAAGTCTCAGGCAAAACGGGTTGGTCCGGATCCGGTTGTGTTGTTACGATCGGTTTTCCCTTGCAAAAAATAAGCTAAAGTGGACATTTCTTGTTCTAACATAACCAAACTTCAAGAATCCCTTGCAAAAAATAAGGTAAAGTGGACATTCGCGCGCGCAAGACGAAATCCTTCCAAAACCTTAGTTTTCGTAGCGATTTTAACATAAAAACATCAAAAAACCAATGGTTTTTCAAAAAAAAATGTCAAAATTTCATCCCGCGCGCTCTTGCGGATTCGTAGGAAACCCAACACTTTTTAAACATTTCTGTCAAACGGGCTTTTGCGAGCAACTTTTTCGAACTTCTGCAACAACGGTTGCGCACCTGCCAGGGCCATCATCCCTGTCAAATAATACCATGCGGGACACATTCGTTTTTTCTTCGCGCGCGCACGCCGTCGTCGTCGGCCGCGGGGCCCTGAATAGTAGCCACGGTCGTCCGCATGCCACGAAGTGAAGTGTCCGAACGTCATAGGGCGGGAAGCTGGGTGTGGGTGGTGGCGAAGAGTCGTTTGGAAATTTGGTAGAGCTTGAACCGGCCCCCCCACAAAGTGGGGGTATTGCCCGCCTCCTATGAAAACCCTGGCACTGGTGAGAACGGTGTGTCCCCACGTGCTAGTAATTGTTGTTGTTGTTGTTGTTGTTGTTGTTGTTGTTGTTGTTGTGGTTGTTGTTGTTGTTGTTGCTGCTGTTATTGCTTGATGATTGTTGTTTGTGTTGTCGTTGCTGCTGTTGTTGTTGCTGCTGTTCCTAGGAATCCTGTGGTGTTGGGTCCTCATTTTGAAAAGACAGCGCCTCGCGTCTCCTTCCCTCCCGCTGCCCTCCCTTCTCCCACCGTTGCCTGTGCTCTCCGCACGTCAACCAGTTTGGCGCACCCTTCAAGCTTCGTGGCCCCACAGGGAGCTCCACCGAAGACCCCGTTGCCGTGGCCGTTCGCGTTGCCCGGTACAGCGTTTCGTGGCACCGAATGGCGCCCCACCGAAGGCCCCAGTGACCGCGTTCGCATGCGTCCTCCCCGCGCGGTGCAGCGCAGCTCGACCGAGTGTCCCAGTGACCGCGTTCGCAATTGTCGCGTCACCTAGAACAGCGCTTCGTGCTTCCATCGGGAGCTCCACCGAAGGCCCCGGCTGCCGCGTTCGCATGCGGCCGCGCCACCCAGTACAACGCGTCGTGGCCTCATAGGGAACTCTACCGAAGGTCCCACAGGCTGCATTCGCATGCGCCCGCGCCACCCAGTACAGCGTTTCGCGGCCACACAGGGAGATCCGCCGAAGGCTCCAGCGGCCGCGTTCGCATGCGTCCGTCCCAGCATAGCGCTTCGTGGCTACATAGGGAGCTCCACCGCAGGCCCCAGTTGTGCCGCGTTCGCATGCGTCCGCGCCACCCAGTACAACGCGTCGTGGCCTCATAGGGGGTTCTACCGAAGGTCCCAGAGGCTGCATTCGCATGCGCCCGCGCCACCCAGTACAGCATTTCAGGGCCACACAGGGAGATCCACCGAAGGCTCCAGTGGCCGCGTTCGCATGCTTCCGTCCCACCCAGCACAGCGTGTCGTGGCTACATAGGGAGCTCCACCGAAGGCTTCAATGGCCGCGCTTGCATGCGTCAGCGCCACCCAGCACAGCGCTTCCTGGCCCCATAAGGAGCTCCACCGAAGGCCCCAGTGGCCGCGTTCGCATGCGTCCGCGCCGCCCAGTGCAGCGTTGCGTGGCCACACAAGAAGGTCCCACCGACGGCCCCAGTGGCCACGTTCGCATGCGCCCGCGCCACCCAGTACACCGCTTCGTGGCCACATAGGGAGCCCCACCGGCCGCGCCAGTGGCAGCGTTCGCATGCGCCCACGCCGCCCAACACAGCGTTTTGCTACCCAATAGGGAACTCCACCGAAGGCCCCAGTGGCCGCGTTCGCAGGCGCCCGCGCCACCCAGTACAGCGTCTCGTGGCCCCGTGTGGCGCCCCACCGAAGGCTCCAGTGACTTCGTTCGCATGCGCCCGCGCCACCCAGTGCAGCGTTTCGTGTGCGCTTGCAGGCGAGCGCCCGAGACGTCTTCTCAACGAGCTCAGGGAAGATGCTCCTGCTCGAGATGTCCCCAGGGTTCAGGCTCCCTGGTGTCACCCAGCGCTGGGCCTAAACGGTGTTTTTGGTGATTTCGTGGGCCGTTTTCGTTTCGACTTCGTTTTGCGGTAATTGCGGATTTGAGACAAAAGCGAGGGAAAACGAAAACAAAACGAAAACGAAAAACACCGTTTAGGTTCAACCCTGGTGTCACCACACTTGAGTTTTACATGGTATTCGATGGCCGCCTTGGACTACCAGCAGCGATCGCGATTCATTCGCAGTCGCGCGAGCACCCGGGACGTGCTCTCAGCTTGCTCGGGGACGGCGCTTCCGCTCGAGGCCTCCTCGAGATTCAGGCTCGCAAGTGTCACCAAACCAAGTGTTTTTTTTATACAGGGTGTTCCGATGGCCGCCTCGGGTTACCAACGTGAGGTGGGGACTCCATGATGAGCGGCTCCCACTCGAGACTTCGTCGCGGTTCATTTGCAGACGAGTGAGCGCCCAAAGCATCCTCTGAATTTGCTTTTTCTCCCGCAGGGTTCATGCTCCCAGGTGTCACTAACCCTGTGCTTTACAGGGTATCCCGATGGCCGCCCCGGGTTGCCAACACGAAGCGGGGACACCACAGGGAGGGGGCTCCCGCTCGAGACCTCCCCAGGTTTCAGGCCTGGTGTCACCAAACTTGGGTTTTACACGGTATTCCGATGGCCGCCTTGGATTACCAGCATGAAGTGAAGACCCCATAGGTCGGGCGAAGAGAATTATGCACATGCACCGATCCTGGCAAGGCCCAACCTTGACCCAGGATCGGTGCATATGCCTTCCTGGCCAAGGTAGGAGGGCGTATGCACCGATCCTGGGCTCAGGATGGGCCTGGCCAGAATCGGTGCATGTGCATAGTTCTTTTTCCTCTAATAGGGAGGAACTCCCGCTCGAGACTTCCTCGCGATTCATTCGCAGACACGTGAGCTGCCTGAGACGTGCTCTCAATTTGCTCGGGGACGGCGCGTCCGCTCGAGGCCTCCTCGAGATTCAGGCTCGCAAGTGTCACCAAATATATATATATATATAGATAGATATATATATATATATATATGTATATATATATAGATATTAATCATACAGGGTGTTCCGATGGCCGCCTCGAGTTACCAACGTGAGGTGGGGACCCCATAATGAGGGGCTCCCACTCGAGACTCCGTCGCGGTTGATTTGCAGACGAGTGAGCGCCCGAGACATCTTCCCAATTTGCTCGGGAACGACCCTGCCGTTCGAGATTCCCTCGGGATGCAGGCTCTCAGGTGTCACCAAACTTCTGTTTTTTTCACAACGCATTCCGATGGCCGCCTTGGGTTGCCAAGATGAGGTGGGGACCCTGTAGGGAGTGTCTCCCGCTCGAGACATCCTCGCAATTCAATCACATACGAGGCTCCGGCCCGAGTCGTCTTCCATTTGAGTACATGAGTGTGTGAGTGATGGAGTAAATTTGGGATGTGTGCGGTGATGGTGATGATGGTTATCATGGGGATAATGATTATGATGCAGTGTTCATGGTTTGAAGGTTGATGATGCAGATGATGATGGTGATGATGATGACGATGATGATGCTGATGCTGATGATGATGCTGATGAGGCAGATGATGATGATGACGATGATTATGATGCTGATGATGGTGGTGCTGCTGCTGCTGCTGATGATGATGATGATGATGATGGTGTTGGTGATGGCCTATGGCTGGGTGATGATGAGTCTGATGATGATGATGATGATGATGATGATGATGATGATGGTGATGGTGATGATGCTGATGATGCTGATGATGGTGGTGGTGATGGTGATGGTGATGTTGATGGTGATGGTGATGGTCATGATTATGACGTTGGTATGCTCCTGTTCTTGCGCGGGGGTGCCCAGCGGAAACAGGAGCCCCACCGAGGATGTGGGGGCAGATCATCTCGCACAGGGTGTTTTTGCGCACACCCTACGCCGCCCCGAGGCGGGATAGGGGCAGGAGTTCGCGCCCGACAAGGGCGGCTACCGCGCTGGCGCCGCGGCCAGCAAGCCGCAGGCCGAGGCCGCGGCGAAGGGCCCCCTGCTAGAGGAGGGGCCTCGGGGGGCGCCGCCGCATGGGGCTCTTCGGGAGCAACGCCAGGGGGGGTTCGGCGGTTCTCGGCGGTTTTCTCAGGAGGAGGAGGAGGAGGAGGAGGAGGAGGAGGAGGAGGAGGAGGAGGAGGAGGAGGAGGAGGAGGAGGAGGAGGAGGAGGAGGAGGAGGAGGAGGAGGAGAGGAGGAGGAGGAGGAGGAGGAGGAGGAGGAGGGAGGAGGAGGAGGGGGAGGAGGGGGATCGTCTGGCACCCTCACTGTCTCAGGCGACCGCAAACATGGATCAAGGGGGCGTGGATCAGCGACGGGGCCCGTTTCCGCTGGACATCGCGGCTTGGCGCCGCCGAGCGAGGCGGCACCGGCCGCTCTTTGGGGAGGGCGCCTCTCCCGATCCATGGATCTTTGGCGGCCGCGCGCCAGATCCCTGGATCGCCAGTCCATGTTTGCGCGCCCCCGATGTTCTTGCCTCGGGATGCTCTGCAGCAGCGGCGCCTCGCCGAGAGGCGTCCCGGGGGAGCCCTGGGCCGTGCCGGGCGGCCGCTGGAGACCCCACAGGGTGCGACCCGGAAGGCCAGAGGCTAGGAAAGAGGAGGAGGAGGAGGAGGAGGAGGAGAGGAGGAGGAGGAGGGAGGGAGGAGGAGGAGGAGGAGGAGGAGGAGGAGGAGGAGGAGGAGGAGGAGGAGGAGAGGAGGAGAGGAAAAAGGAGGAAAAGGATGAGGATGAGGATGAGGATGAGAGGAGGAGGAGGAGGATGAGGATGAGGATGGATGAGGATGAGGATGAGGAGGAGGAGGAGGAGGAGGAGGAGGAGGAGGAGGAGGAGGAGGAGGAGGAGGAGGAGGAGGAGGAGGAGGAGGAGGAGGAGGAGGAAGGGGCTGGCTCAGGTGGGGGACGCGTCGACCCGCAGTCGGCCCACTCATCGCCGAGGGGGGCCCGATTGCCCCCTCCGCCCAAGAGCGTCGGGACTCGCGATCGGGGGGCCATCGTCGACGAAGGAAGGAAGGAAGGAAGGAAGGAAGGAAGGAAGGAAGGAAGAGGAGGAGGAAGCGAGGAGGAGGAGGAGGAGGAGGAGGAGGAGGAGGAGGAGGAGGAGGAGGAGAGGGAGACCGAGCCGTGGAGACCCGGGCCGTGGCCCGAGGCCCTGGCGGGGGACGCCGCGAAGGGCGAGCAGAAAATGTTGGCGCTCCGCGTGGATTTCTTGGATCTGCGCCTGGGCCCCCCCGGCGGCGCCTCCAGCGCCGCCCCTGGCGCGCTCCGCGCGCCAGGGAGGGTGGTCCAGCGCGAATCCGAGAAAGTCCGCGCGGAGTGTTAATTCCCTACCCAGGCTCTGCCTAGAAGGGTTCTTACTCTCTTAGCTTAAAGGGGCCGGGCAGTGCTACACGCCCCGGGCGGTTCCCCCGGTCCCCGCCCCGCGGTTCCCCCCAGTCCCCTGGGAGCTTCAGCTTTAGCTTTAGCTTTAGCTTAGCTTTAGCTTAGCTTTAGCTTAGCTGTAGCTTAGCTCGAGCTTAGCGTTTCGCTTCGCTTTTCGCTTAGCGTTCAGCTTAGCTTTAGCTTAGCTTTAGCTTAGCTTTAGCATAGCTCGAGCTTAGCTGTAGCTTAGCTTTTTCTTAGCTTTAGCTTAGCTTTATCTTAGCTTTAGCTTAGCTTTATCTTAGCTTTAGCTTAGCTTTAGCTTAGCTTTAGCTTAGCTTTAGCTTAGCTGTAGCTTAACTTTAGCTTAGCTGTTGCTCAGCTTTAGCTTAGCTTTAGCTTAGCTTTAGCTTAGCTTTAGCTTAGCTTTAGCTTAACTTTAGCTTAGCTGTGGCTTAGCTTTAGCTTAGCTTTAGCTTTGCTTTAGCTTAGCGTTACTGTTCCTGCTAATGCTGCTTTCCTAGGGGTTCCATCTCCTAGGTAGGGTCGCACTGGGATAATGTTGTTTTTTCTTCTTCTATATCGCCTATCTATCGGCGAGCTGTCGCCGATTCTAGGTTGATGTTCCCGCCCCCGAGCCAGTACCCCCTGTCGTTGCGCCTCAGTTCTGCTGGCAGTCTCCAGGCCTCCCGAAGGTGGTCACATCGGACGAGATCGGGGGATCGCGCCACATCGCCGACGTATCGTCGATGCGGCTCGATGTGGAACCCGATCTTCTCCATGACGATGGCGCCGGTGTATCGCCAGCGTTGCCGATGCGTCGCCGATGCATTTGCGATTCATTTGCTACGCGGCGCGATCCTCCGACTCTTCCTGCTTGGATGCAATTTGGGAGGCCTCCACAGTACCAGGCCCTCTCCTCAGGGGCAACGACAGGGGTGGACGTACCGCGGGCTGGGTCCCCTTTCCCGTCCGGGCACGCGTGGTTCTGCTCTCGGGGGCCCTCCCGGAGCCATATCTGCCTCGAGGGGTGCCCCACTCGTGTCGAGCGACGGCCTGGCCCGAGCAGATGCCCACGAACCCCCAGATGCGCCCGTGGCGGGTGAGGAACACCTTCGTCGAGGCCGACAGCAGCGACAGCGACGCCTGCCCGGAGCGCGCGCGCGGCCGGGCCGCGCGCAGCTGCCAGCCCAGGAGGGCAGCGAGCGGCAGCCCGGCGGAGCCCCCGCCGGGCGGGGCGCCGCGCGGGGGCGGCGCCGCGCGCGGCCGTGCTCGCGTGGCCCTCGGCGCTGCCAGGGCTGCCGCCGTGGGCGCTGCCTCCGTGGCCTCCGCCGAGGCCGCCCGGGGCCCGCAGGGGGCGGCGGCGCCGCGCGCCGCCAGCCGAGAGCGTCCGGAGCACTGGCGCGGCCGTGCCTTCGTGAAGGGCGGCCTCGGCCGCGAAGCCGGCGAGCCCTCGCAGGAGTCGCTGACCATCGGGGACCAGCTGCGCCTGCTGGAGAGGGAGCGGAGCCACCAGTGCGTGTTCGTCGCCCGGCGGCTGAACACCCTGGGCTTCCGGGCGGACGGGCTGCTGGCCTCGCACTTCTCGGCGTTCGGGCAGGTCCAGAGGGTGATGATCGCCGTCTCGCGCGTGAGGAAGTCCTGCGGCGAGGCCACGCGGGTGCGGCCAGGCAGCATCGGGTTCATTGTGATGGTGGATGCCAGCGCCGTGGCGCGCATCTTGGAGGCGGGATGCGAACACGTGGTGGCCGGGAAGCGCATCATCGTGGAGCCGTTCCACCCCGACCTGCTAAGCAGCAGCGCGGCAGGTGGTTAGCGCGGCGCTCCAGCCCGATGTACCACAGGGCGCACTTGCCACATCCCGGGGACTGGCGGCCTCCTCTGCCAGAGGGCTCCCCCTCTGGGCGAGCGGCTTGGAGCCGCTTGTCAGATCGGTCAAACGAGTGGGAAGTGTTTAAGAGACTGTTGCCAGAATGATGCCGTCCATGGTCTCCTGCTCGTGATGCTCTGGCCAGTTGGACTCTGGTAGCAAGTTAACTTTGTAGAGTGGCTTCAGTGCACGAGAGACCGTCGCTTATCAGCACTTGTGTACGCGATTTGCTCGTGCGTGCCCGCCCCCGCCCGAACCCTTCCCTCTGGCGATAGATGGGTTTGATCCGCTGCGCTGTAGCCTGATCTGTGTTTTTGCACGCTTGCTGCGATGGGTGATCTCGCCCCATCTCATTCTGATTCTGACCCTCCTAGAGTCTCTCTGGGGCCTCCTCCATGCTTCCGCAGGGGTCTCCAAGAGCCCCCAAGCCGAGTCGACGGCCCACCTACATGCCCAACAAGAGAGCCCAAGAGCCTCCAAGAGGGCCCTCCCGTCCTCCTCCTCCTCCACCTCCCGTTCCCTCCTCCTTTGGAGCCGCGCGTGTCCGCGGCGCAGGCTGCCCGCGGCGTGCGCGAGCCTGTCGTGCAGGCGGAAGGCGATAGCCCGCTCCAGCTTCTTTTGCCCCAGAGCGGCGCGTCCGGCAGTTCGCCGTCCTAGCTCTCGAGTGCCGAGGACGTTAAGCCTCGTCTTGGTCGCAGGTGGGGACCTGGCTCGGGGCGCGTTCAACTGTTCCTAAGAGGAGGGGGAACAGAAGGAGGCTCCAAGGGGGCCCCAACCATCTCCAAGTGCGCATTGACAACTTTGTAACGCCTGATCTTGGGCGTGCGTCTGTCCAACTTTTTAAATGCGTGGCCGTCTCGTCCACCATGGTTTGAAGGCAGACGGGATACTGGGCGGGGCGTTTGATGATCTAATGGCCTTGGGCCCATCCCGCTACCGTGCCTGGGGCCATCTTGAGGGCCTCATGGGACGTCTCGGAGCGTCGGAAGCTCGAAAAGTTGAGAATCCCAAAATCTTGGAACCGTGAGGAGTTTCAGTGGCTTTGACCTCACGGCTCCCTCTTGGGAAGGCTCTTGAAGGCCTGCTGGGACGACTTGGGCGCTTTTTCCGCCGACTGGAGGCCATGTTGGGCGTCTTGGTGCGATCAGCGATTCGGGGCCCTCCTGGGCCATCTTGTAGATCTCTTGGTGCATCCCTGGCCAGTCTTGGGGCCCTGGTGTGCTCGACCGGGTCATGCGACAGGCACTGGGAGCCACGCGACGAGACTCGAGATGTTTCAGGTTTTGGGGACGGGGCCCTTACAATTCCCAGGATTGAGTACTGAGGCTCCAGGGGATTGAACAAGGGACTTAAGGACCCTCCAACTCGTGCCTCAAGGGCATGGTTGCGGATTCGGCCGTCATGGTCTTTGAAGCCCCACCTATTCCACTGGCTATTCTCCCTTTTGCCGCTTCGTGGTCACACGAGTTCGGCGCTGGAGGGGATGGTGGGGTGCTTAGAATTTGTAGTTCGGTGCCGATGTTGGCGCCGAGTTCCGAAAGTGACCTACACTGTTGGCAGCTGACCAGCCATGCGTGGGTGCAGGATTGAGGCCACCTCGTAGTCATGACGCCTGGAGTTAGGCCTGACACCAGGGTCTCTCGTCCACAGAGGTTTCGGCTTCAGGCCGTACACGGCAGCTGGCCAGCCATGCGTGAGGAAGGGGTTACATGTTTTAGAGCTTGCAAGGTCACCACAAGACGGCTCCAAGAGTCTACAAGAGGACCCCGAGAGGACTCC